GGCGCCCACGGCTCGGGACGACAGCGGCGCGCATGTGTATTGATGGGGGTGGCGTACTGGCGTGATCGGTTGGCGGCGACGGTGGCGAACAAGCGTGGAACTAGAGATGGACTGGTGAACGGCGGTCGTGGGTGCGTGCAGTGGTCCGGGGGATGGCGGCGGCAGGGTGTGCGGTGAGCGTAGGAGGCGGGTGGATGTGTGCGGCTGGTTGCTAGGTTTTGTAGAAAAAGAGTAGGGATGTTAGGGTTTTATAGGTATAGCGTAAAGGGTATATTTGTCCATAAAAATATTTATTTATTTATTAATTACGAATTATTATTAAATAATATGAATCTAGGTATTATTTTGGGAAAAAAACTAGTTAGGTCATAGATTGGGAAAGTGAAAGAGTTTTAGTCATATGGGGGATAATTGTTTCTTGTTTCTTTATAGTCTACCCTTTGTTCTAAGAAACACATATTCAAGTGGGAAGTTGGCTTTGAATTTAAGAATTGAGAACTTGTGTATAGAGTATAGTATTGAGTTTTGCCATTTTGAAGGGTGGTTCGTGACAACAAATGACATCTTTCTTTTAGATCTTTAATTTATGCGGTGTGATATAGATTTCATTTTCAAAGGGGATTTTGTATGTCTAAGTCCTTTGAAAAAGAAACTATAATAAGTTTGATAACTTCGAATGTAGAGGTGTTGTTTCCCGAGGTATATACATGAGTACCAAGCTTTTTTCTAGATCTGCACAAAATCGGCCCGGCCCGCCCGCACAAATGGGCGGGCTTGTGCATATATATTTACCCACCGGGCCGGGTCTGCCTTGCCCGCAATAACATATGGACGGGCTTGGGTTAGGGTGTAGGCCCGTTCGGGCCGATAAGCCCAACCTGCTACAATTAGTATATATACTTATATTTTTTTATACATATACTAATTTATTTATTTATTTACATGTACACATGTATATTTATATTCACTAATTTATCTTTATACATATTTATAGTTTATTGTGTTTAAAGTTAAGTTTTTAGCTCTTAACAAATAACCCAACCAATTAATATCTATTTTTGTACTTGACGATAATACTTTGTGTTTGAATTTTAAATTTTAGATATAGTTTCTCATTATTATTTTTGTGTAAGTATTTTTTGTGTATGCGGTGAAAGGCTTATAAACATTATAAAGGGTATTAACAATTTTTTAAATGTTGTAATCTTATTTATAAAGTATTAAAAAAATTGTATAATTTCGAAAAATTTAAAGTTTTTCCGGGCCGGCGGCCCGGTGGACTATCCGGCCCGCTCTTACGGATGGGTATGGACATGGAGTTAGGCCCGTCTGGGCCGTCTTTGCGGGCCAGGTCGGGCCCACCCACACATGATGGACAGAAAAATAAAAAATCTATATCTATATATCTATATACGATAGTATATAAAGGTTATCGTATGTCCCATAACTGTTCCCGCCTAAGAAATCTACTTGGTTAATTTTCTTACTTTGGTAACTGCCTGCTATTATTAGTCAAATGCGAGCACTCAACTGAAACAGTCATTTGCCCTCCACATTACTAGCATATTATTGGTTAGTTCATTGTCTCAATTAAATTATTTCGAGATGAATCCGTCCACTACAATTGGGGCTTGAAGCTTTGGTTAGCAATAGAAGTACGTACCCTGGCTGTGAGAGGTAGTTTGGGAGGTACATTCATTTATATACTCCGTATAATATTCATACATACGCACTCAGTGTTCAAATCTAATGCACGATACAGGTGTTATGATAAATTGGTGAAAGACCTTCTAAGCGAGTATTTGCAATTGCTTCAACTTTAAAAAAGTGATTTTGAGAAAAATGATTAATAGTAAAAGTTGGTAGTGTTTGAGAAAAAAGTGATTCTGAAAAGGTAAAAGTTGGTAGTGTTTGGTAAAATAAGTACATTTTGTGTAATAGAAAAAGTGAGAAGCAGTTTAAAGCACCCTTCTACCTGCTTCCAGCTTTTAGCTTTTAAGTGATTAATTTAAGTAGAAGCTGTCATTTGAAAACACTCTTTTCAACTTTTTTAAGCCAAAAGCTGAAAAGTGCTTTTTTTAAGCAACCCCAAACACTCCTTAAGATAGGGTAAATATATACTACAAAAAAACTTTTATTGATACATAAAAATGTAGAAAATATATGAAATATATGGCCAAATTATTTGTCTTCGATCTACTCCATATTATAGTACGGAGTAGTACGCACGGTACGTTCCTATATACTCCGTAATAAATCTGCTTAGCAAGTACGTAGACTTTACAATCTAAGAAAATATCCTAATTCTAAATGTTTAGTCTCACAAATAAACATCACATCTTAAAAAATGGATGGATTGAAAATTATAGCATATGAAGGATGTAAATCAAAGACAAAAAACTATTTAAATTATACTCCTATATATTGTGAGTGAGTTGTTGATCTGATGAGAAGAAAAAAATTGCTTTAGTTAATTTAGGTCAAGCAACAAAATAATATTCAAATTATAGAGGAAACATGACTCGAAGTGAAAACAACATACTTCATAAACTGATAAACAACGGTACGTAGGCACACTTTCACAGAGATATAAGAGAGGGCACATTGATTTTATATGTTAGAAACTAATATAGAAGATTATTAAGAATTTGATAGGAACAAGAGAGAAGAACTTAACTAGAGATATAATGTTTTGACAGAAAATTTGATGGCAGCATATAGTGGTTTAATTTAGTGCTCAGCTCCACAAAAACAAATGTGTGCATATATACAGATACGGTTAATGTGAAAATGGTCCTTGGTCCTCTCAAGATACATTCATAGTACTTTGTATGTATACACATACACATGCCATAGAGAGATAGAACATGCCCCGTTAAAAAAGGAGCACTATTTGGGTTTTTTATTTTATGTAAAATTTTCAAGCATACAAAAAAACAAATCCCACATCCCTGAAATATGAATTGGCAATGCAGTTATTTGAGAGAATATAAGTTGAAGTTTGATCGCACTCTGATGGAAACAGAGTAGAATTCGATCCCAATGCACTACTTTGAATTGAGCGCGGACATCTCTCTTGTGGTACTCTCTTTCTATTAGGTGAGCTATGGCCTCTTAAATTTCAAGCATACAATTAAATAGTTTCATGTTGCTGCTCTTGGTTCATTGAAAGGATAAATTAAATCAATGGTGTATAACAATAGGCTTTTCCAATAAGTGTAATTAAATTTGTTTTGAAAAAACTTTTATGTATATGTTTAGTGCATACTTTTATATATATTATATAAACATAATAAAAAATAAACATATTCATCAAAAGTCATCAAATGTTATATTAAAACAAACCATAAGAGACCAAACAAAGTAACATGTTCAAAATTCAAAGTACCATAGAATACCAAAACATTCTGAATCATTTATCAAAACAGAAATCTAAGATATGAAAATTTAAATTAATTAGATTAATTGACTGAAAAATTCAATCAATAACTACTGGTTTGAAATAGGGATCATAAGATCAATTATAAAAATTTAAAAGTGGGCCGAGTGGGCCCAAATAATACCCTTACACCCTGACCTCCTATTGCGTACGCCTCAGAGCGCCTTATTGCGCATCCAATATTGCGTACGCCTCAGTGCAATATTGCGTACATCACACTCCCAGACTCCCAGTGCCATATGCAATGCCTTTTACGCCATAGTCCAGGAATTAGCTGAGGCGCACCATGAGGCGCAATTGCATTGCGCAATTACAAACAATGCTTTTTTCAGAAAAGAAAAAGGAAAAAAATTATTGACAAAAATATGACTAATAGTTAGTATAGTGTAGTTTCGTAATCACTTAAGTATAAAACATGGAACATAAGTTATACTACTACCTCCGTCCCAAAATGATGGTCCTGTATTTCCTATTCGAGGTGTCCCAAAATGATAGTCATCTTTCCCTTTTTGGTAAAGAAATTAAAGTAAACTACCATTTATACTCCCCTTTTTAATGAACAGTAAAAGTAAAGGGGTAAACTAACAGTACAATAAAGTAAGGTTATATGGGTCCTTCTACCTGTTTTTCTTAATATTTGAGCCCAAAAGTATAGGAAGCGTTTTTGTAAACAACATTTCTTTTAGCGACGAAGGGAGTACTACGTATTAATATATTATAGTCACTACTCTTAAAAGGTAGCGTTTTTGTAAACAACATTTCTTTTAATCATGTGTATGTGTGTGATTATTACATACGATAGTACCAAGTACTATTTCATGTGCTATTTCTATGCATAATGTTTTTTCACATTAACACATATTTAAGGCACATGATCATTACTTCTTCTTTTTCCTAAAAATCACTCACTTTCAAAATAAGCATTTCTTTATCATTACTTTTAAATATATACTCGTAATAAATAAGAGACAGAGAGTACATTATTATTTAGGAATTTTAAAAAAATATAAAAGTATTCATTAGAAAACTTTTTTGTATAAATTGAGTTTTTTATAATTCTATAAACTCATTTTTTATCCATAATAACATAATAAGAAGCCCATTCAAGTAACCCAATAGCATTAACCTGATACTCACTAAAAGATAACTCTCCTTAGGTTTCTAGTTTCTACATAGTTCCCAACCGTTCCATATTCCACTGATGGTATTTCTACCTAATTCTATTGGTATTACAAACAACTAATAGGTAACAAGCCAGGCTCAGGCCTATTGATTCAAAAACAAGCCTGACCTATTTAGAAAAAAGTTTGACCTTGCCTGGCCTATTAAGGCAAAAGTCTGGCCTGACCAGTTTACACCCCTACCTAAGTACCTGAGTTGAAGATACACTATCTAGGCAAAAGGCTAGCCTATTAATTCTAAAACAGGCCTGACCTATTTAGGCAAAAGCCTGTCAGCCTGTTCCACCCCTACCTGAGTTGAAGATACGCTATCTAGGTTTCTTTTGGCGGGAACTTGCTATGCAAGTTTTCTTTTGTTATTAAATTAAGATAGATAGATCTTGCATAATACGAAGTAGCATTTTAGCATTTGAAAAAAATCCAAAAGCATTTCCAACAAGCTCTTTCTGTGTTCTAACAGCACACTCTGTGTATATAGGTAGTAAACCGACGTGCTCCAAATTTATGGCATGAAGATAATCAACTGTCACAGGCTCACGGCAATTCAAACTAGAAAATTGGACAAAAAGCAAACCATACACAATAAGCACAAAAGTTGGAGAAAAAATATTTGCTCTCCTGAGTGATGTAAGCCTGAAACCGCATATTGAATGAAAAAAAGAAGTGACTGATTGCTTAGAAATGACCAGCAGTGTAACCACCATAATGTCCCTATCATTGCACAGGCCATATTATATAACACCCTTGCTTCTTCGAGCCCATAGAATAACATTAATACTTGCTTCCATCTAGGGTTCCAACTGCCTCCTTCAGAAGCCTTTGTGCTTCTTCTCTTCTCCTGGATATTGGAAGCTCAGTGAGATATTACAAATCTATCAACAATGATAGATTTGTAGTTCAAGCCTAATTCAAGGATTTACTTTTGTACTTGATCATGTCACAACTATACTTGACTAAAATTTCCAAACATTGTACCTTTTTATGTCCTCAACGGCTTGTTTACGCTGTTGTATCTGACGTTCTAGGATGTGGATAATTGTTGCCCTGGCCTATTAAATGGAAATAAAAAATCAAATGACAGAAAAGAGCATGAGCATTCCAGTTGGTTTATCCCAAATACGGAGTAGTTATGATGATGATAATCATAATAATAAGTAATAATAAAATTAGGAATAATAGTAGCAGTAGTAGTATTAAAACTCAGTAACTACAAATATGAGGTTGGTATATGATGGAATTACAAGTAGAAATATACCTGGTGCGGCCGTAAAGAATTGAGAAGGTGATGCAAGTTCTTGAAGATTAAAGATATTTCTTCCACTCTACGAGCATACTGCGATGGCCTCTCCACTAGAATATCAGCAAGCTCCAATATATGCAGCTGCAATTCTCTGTTGAGTGATCTCAGTTCCTTCTTAAAATCTATATACTTAAAAGTTAGAAATAAAGACAACTAAGCCATTTCATGATCATGAAAAAACTACAAGACTTTCCCAAAGAATATAATTATCGCAAACTGTACATTCAGGGAGTACAGTGCCACAGTTGTTCGCATAACAAATTGAGTAATGTTATTGTATATTCAATGGAGACGTTCCTATGTGGCACGCATTTCATTGAGTGATGATCAGATGTCTGACTATTCACCACCCAAAGAATGTATGCCAAGTGGCAAGAGTCGTCAAATTTAATGTTCCCTAGATTTACTCTAAAATGTTCATTTAAAGGCAAAGATCAATCTACTGTGTGATGTTGTTTCTTAATAATAAAAATATGTACACAAGTTCCAGGGCATCTACTCTAACAGATGGAATAGTGTAAGACTTCAGAATCAACATAATGAGTACTCGACTGATAAATTGCATCTTTGTGGGACCATGAAAAGAGAACATGCGGCATGTTTTCCTCAAGAAAAGCATAGAGAGAGAAAGAGAGAGAGAGAGAGAGAGAGAGAGAGAGAGAGAGAGAGAGAGAGAGAGAGAGAGTGGGGGGAGGGAAAGAGGGAGAGAGAGAGGGAAAGAGAGAGCCCTACCAATATTTGGCCCTTTTGGATATAACTGGCGAACACCCTGATCCTCCAAACTTGGAAGCACATCCTCAGTCTGCATTGATAGTATCACTATGCTAAGAACACCGTCTTTCAACCAAGAACATCAAAGGAAATGAACAAATGGATGTCTCAGAAGCAATACTGAAATAAGTTCTTCCCAGTAATTTAAAAGAAAGGTGTGCTATTAGGAACAGATACAGTGTGTCCCATCCTTAATCCAAATGAAATATCAATAGTGTGAAAAAATATGCAAATACTACAGCCAAATAACTAATGAGTGAATTGAATTTACAGTGTAATTGCACCCGTAAAGAACGTATGTGCCCTCAATAGGAGGAGGGGGCTCAGGAGCGGATTTCGGGTCCTTTAGGTAGCCCTTGTACAGCTTGTAAAATGGGGGCGGTGGGGGGTAGGTTGCCGTCGACATAGTTAGCGACCTCCAAATCCGATTCCCTTTCTTCTTGTTCTGGCAATGGAACTAAGATTCTGTCTCTGTAGTGTCTGTCTTTAGAATTATGGTGACCCTACATAGAAAGATACTTCATATTTACCAGCAACATTCTTGAATGTCAACATTCTGCTAAATGTCAACAAATTCAATAATTCTTATGCGAAAGATACTTCAATACCCACATATTTAAATCTATTTCTTGTGATTTTTTAAGTAAATATGTGGGGTTTTAAGCAACATTCTTAAATGTCAAAGATACTGTTCGAAACACATCATTCTGGAGGTCACATCATTCTGTTAAAATACCAGCAACATTCACAAATCTCAAAATTATGGCCATTTGCTCCCGATCAGATTCATCCTTTGCTTCATCAACAAGAAGACAAAAACACGAATCTCCTATTTCTTCACGTATCATACGATGAACTCTATTAGCCATTAAAGATAAAATTTCTTTCTGGATATCAGGTGAAGTGTATTTGGCATTTTTGGGGGCATTACCCAAGACAACATCTCTGACTTCTAATTGGGAGCATTACCAGTAACTACCAGTTCGACGTTTTCACCAAATTGGTTCAATGAATTTAATTGGTTGGAATACTCTCCGACAACACACATGGCAATATGACATATTGCTTTCCGTGCTTTCTATTTTGTGATAACATCTAAAAAATGTTATCAAGGCCTACTAAAAATTGTGAGCTGTTGTATATTTGTGAATATCTAATTGTGTTCCTAATTCCGAATAAATTGAATGTGTTCATGACTTCATGCCTACTACCAGTAACTGCCTCCGTATGACTGTATTTGAATTGAGCTTTTATATAATTTACCCACAATTGTGCCTGACTAACTATCCTTTCATCAAACCCAATCGACTTAGCAATGGTCAAGGCATTTGAGTGTCCAATATTCCCCCAAAGAATCCTAAACGTAGGTTGCAGAGTATCCAAGCAAAAATCCATTGCTGCATTACAATATTGGTCATCCTTCTCTTTCAAACATGTTAATTAGTAAGTAGTTTACTACTTTGTAGTTAGTAAATGATTTGGGAATTGGGATATTGTGCATGTGTGAATTGTTAATTCAGTCCCTAATTCTGTAATTCCTAATTTAAAATTAAGTATTTAAATTGTTTGTTTACTTTGGTTTTAGATTTACTAGTTATTACTCAGTATTATTTACTAAAGTTTTACATATTTTGACGTTATAGAAAATAATGGCCACTCCCAAGAAAGCCAAAGTTGCCAAATCAACTCTGCATTCTTATTTTATCCCCACCGCTCCAACTACAAGGGTACAAGCTGAGAACCCGATTCCGAATGAGCATGAAGAATCTTCTCATGTTCAAAATGAAATATCTTCTTCTGTGATTGAAATAGAATGGGATCCCGGTATAAGAAAAAAAATATGTGATTGGCCTGTTCACAATAGAGATGAAGTCAGGTGGTTATATTTGGTGACAGGGCCTTACCAACCAAAACTTCAGCTCTATAAAGGTCGACAATATAAAGACAAAGTTCGACTTTTTCAACCAAAATGGTTCAATGAATTTAATTGGTTGGAATACTCTCGGACAACACACATGGCAATATGGCATATTGGTTCAATATTTTTTGTAAATTATTAATTTAAGAAATTAGGGTAAGAAAAATACCTAAAAATTGCAGATTTGCGGCCTTGCGGGAAGATGGCGGACAGGCGGAATCCCAGTCGCCTAGACGGAAGACGGCGGTCGTTTCTACCCCTGAGCTCCAGCGGCGCTGCTACAAGGAATTTCCTCTTCTCTGTACATCGTCACAAACTCGCAGCGGCTTTTGTTCATGCTCGGATTCCCTGGCCGATCAACGCAGCACTCCTCACTCCTCAGTTGAAATTAGCCGGTTGGCTTTAAGTTGAATAAGATTTGGGCTGGAGTGTTTTAATGGCACTGGGCCAATTTTTTTATACACTGGGCCATTACTAAAAAAGAAAATTACTATTTCTAATGGAGACTAGGCCAAGTTGCACTGGGCCATGGCCCCCCTCCTCCGCCAGTGATAAACTATAAGAACTCATATATTTTGTACACTTCTTTTATGTCTTGTTTTGTTGGGAACGATTTATTTATTTATCTATTAATAATGGAAGTGTAATTATAGGATTTAATTGAGGTTACCATTTTAAACTATGATCAACTGGTTCTTTAGTGATTTAAATCTCCGTGAGGATGTTGTTATATGGCATTGCCTGTAAAGATTCAGACATTTAGAAAACACAATTTAGTGAGGTGCTTCAATGATTTAGTTTTTTATATAGACTATCACCCATGATTAATTTATAAGTTTTGACATTGTCAAATCATGTTCCTAAATCCTTAGAGCATCCTCAATGCATTACTTTCTAGTCCAAGTTAAATATGCCAAATGTCAATAATTAAAAGGGTGTGTAATTTACATAATACAAAGTGGACTAACCGGACATTTAGGTATGAAAAATACGTCCAACGCATGAAGTCTAAGACCCAAATCAAGTGTATATGTGGCTTTTCTTTTATTAATAAAAAATTATTATCCAATTGCTCTGTACGCTAGCTTCTACGCAAATTTGCTCTTTTTCTATTAATTTCCTCCTTACTCCATTGAAGTCATTCGAAGAGCAAGTGTACATATTCCGGACCAGTTAACTTGCAAAAATTGTTTGACGACCTTCCCGATGGAATTTTGAGCTGAAATTTGGTATGGACAAACTAGACTTGATGAGGAACATGCTCAAAAAATTTCATCAAAAAATTCCATCGGGAAGGTGCCCAAACGGGCTCGGCCGGACGGGGCAGCCCGTCAGGCCGGCCTGACATGAACATTCCTCTCTCTCTCTCTCTCTCTCTATATATATATATATATATATATATATATATATGTATATATCCCTTATATAATAAGCGCTAACTGCTGTTAGTATAGTTCTTTTTCCGTTAAACCCACCTCACATTTCAAACGCCAAACTAACGCCAAATTTTACTCTTCCCTTCTGCCTTTCACCGAACCGGTGCTTGCGGTTACTTCCATTCCCTTCGCCAAAAACAACTTCAAGCAGTATAAGTTCAACCAATTCATTCTCATGCTCGCACATCCGCTCTAATTGCGTATCCTATGCTCCAGATATCTTCAGCCGTAGTGCTACTCTACAAACAAGGTACTTCCTATACAGTTATTACTTTTCATTTTGGTTACTAAGGATTATGATTGTTCGTTCTTAATACTAAGCGCTGCAATTGATGATAACTTTCTTCTTTATCTAACTTAATTTCCCATCATGCACTTCATTCATCAAATCCCTTGCACCCTATATGTATTTTATGCCCACAAAGTGTTTGTCAAAAAGCCACATTAAATATTCGATCATGGTCACGTGAAATATTTCTGCAAATGTCTTAGAACTTCATGTTTTTTTAGAGATAGAACTTCATTTTTTGATCGATATTTAGCAAACAATTCCTTTGTTTGTTTTCAAGTTATATTCAAAAATTAAAATAGTTTTTTATTCGACTTCTAGGGGGAAATACTTTTTAATCTTTATCAGTCTGATTACTTTTGCCACTCTAAAAAGTTTATCAAATTTAATAAATACTTAAATATACAAAAAATTCTAATAACTGTTTTCAAAAACATGCATTTGAATATGATACAGAGTACTTTTCAGTATAAGGTTATTCAACGAAATTAACACTACAATTATCTACTTCAATTTGTTTCCCGATGACAAATTATGAGAAAGTTAATTTCCAAGACCAAACCTCAAACGGGCCACTGGGGTATTGACCACGTTTGTATTTACAATCCGCATACAAACGTATTTCGGGAAGCCAACAACGGAGTTCTCACAAGTATGCATTTGTATTATCATTCCCTAAACAAATGCCTACAAGGACTCGGTTGGCAAATACATAGCTTCAAAAGAGAGTACTAAACTAAGATAATTGGACTAACATTTATGTAGAGTATATGATTATATATTAGTAATTGTCCTAAAACAATTACAATTTAGGGTATATATCCTCTATAACACTTATGCCTAAAACACATAATATGTTCTTAAGTTATATACATGCACCTTGTCTTGTGAGTTGTGAATTTACAAGAAGACAATATGAACCGTAGACTGATGTGTGTCTTCTCGCACTTAAAATGGTTGTAGAAAAGTGGTTGAAAGTATGAGTATCGTCTCCACAGGGACGGACAAAAGGGAATTAAAGATTAACTAAATTCAGCGATTAAAAATAAATAAAATAAAATGCAATTTGTGCGAGATTGATTGATTGGGAAAATTAATCTAATGCTATAGTGAGCAATAAAATAAAAGATTGGTTTCTTCTCAATTAACGACGAAGGGAACATGGATTGATTCCGGGGTAACCAGATTTCTGGCAGATCAGGCCTAATTACATGAATTTAATTTAATTGAGCCTAGCTAATCATTACTAAGTTCTTACCGCTCTCGCGGCGTAGAGTACAATAATTTAGGGGACCAGGCTGATCTCTCATGCGACAGGATCCTAAATTATTGCCAAGACGAGCGAGCTTACGGCCCCTTAATCGCTACTAATCTCTTAGCGAACGATTAAGTGAGTGTGAATGTGTTCTAGAATAAATTAGATCTCTCTTAATTCATTCTACATGCAATTGTAATTCTAGCTGCAGTCTAGGTTACAAGAGATATCAATTAAATTATTCAAACACAAATTAAACGGACATTCATGCAATTAAACCGACAAGAATCTAGCCATCAATCATGATTAACCCCTTCATCAACCCCAAATCCCTAATTAAACTACTCACAATCTACTTACTTAATAATAAAGTACAACCTTCTAATTGAAATTGAATTTTCAATTAATTGCTATTGAGTCCAATTAATGAATATTTATTAATTGCAATTAAGTCCTAAATTCATAGTATTTACTCAATTGATTACTATTTAGTCCAAATAGTGAATATTTATTAAATTAATTGCAATTAAGTCCTGAATTCATAGTATTTATATATATTACGGAGGAGAAAAGTTCACCACCGGAATTCCGGAGGAGAACCGCTGTCTGCCCATCTAGCTGCCGTGATTTGAGGTTGTTCTCGGTGTTTTTATTGACTATTTTTGGAGCATGTTCTTCATGAGGTTTGAATTATGTTCACAAAATTTCACCTTAAAATTTGATTGAGAAGACAATTAAACAAATTATTGAAAATACTACCACATATATTTTATATATAAATATTTTGGCGAAGTGTTTTTCAATAATTTTTTAAATTGTTTACCTGATCAAATGTTAAGTTAAAAGTTTGTATATAATCTAAACTTCATATAGAATATGCTCACAAAATTTCATCAAGAAAAAACGACTGGGAACTGCCCCAAATCGTGGCTGTCAGGCGGCAGTTTCGGTCAGGATATCCTGATTGGAATATTACTATATTGTGGAGCATCAATTTCCAAATAAACTACAAATAATATAATCATTCCATTTAGAGAGCATATGCATATTTGGGATGTTTTATAATATTGGATTTCATTCCATATTTTATAGAGAAATTTATCACCCCTATGACTAAAACTTCTATGTTTTCTCATAATATGACTCCCCAGTTTTTTTTTTCCTAAAATGGGTTAGATATTCACCCTATTCGTGCGACTAGAGTGGCTGTTTTTTTTATTTCCTTTGCTACCCTTCCAAGGCAGTTATGCGTTTAAATCCGGAACTCATTTTCCCATCCTTCAATTTATGTGTTTAATCAGGTCATTAATTTAATGCATTAAATACAGCAACTAATAATGACTTGCAAAGAGTTCAGTTCAGTTCATATTGGTTGACTATAGATTGTTAACATAATTAGTTTATAACTGAATAAAATCCATAACTTCCCACATGCTTGCTGCTTCACAGAATGACTTCACATTCACCCAACATTTACAAACACACTACACATTTAACATCAATTAATACATAACATACCAAACATTTAAAGTTTTTGTCTAAGCATTGCATTACATAACATACGCCCAAATGCCCAATAATTCCTTATCTCACCTGTCAAACATTTAACCTTAAAGTACCATTCAACAATCTCATAATCCGACCTTACTAAACCAATCCATTCATCAAAACATTCATAATAGTAAACCCAACAGATCACAAAACACAAAGATACTTAGCGTCTACACAAAATTAAGTTTATTTCTAAATCCAAAACGACAATACTGCAGTTTCTCTTAACATTTCAATCCACTCCATATAACTGAACCAGTCCAAAGTATTGGAACAGGTCTATGACCATCTTCTTGCGATAATGCCAGGTTTCACTTGCGTTCACTTCTGTAGCGGGTCTTCCAGAGATTAAATATTCCGCTATTTTCAGCACAAATAAACCGCAACTATGTCTGCATAAAATATTGAATTGTAATCATTGTCAAAAATTAGTTTATGAAATTATATTTTTTTTAAATGCACTTACCCGTCAGTTTGTTGAGGGCACTCACGAACAAACTGAATTTCCAATTTTCCTTCGCCAATGGGCTCTTCCCCACGTTCAGTATACACCCCCATGCAATCCATCAGTCTGCCTAGGTGCATCTCTATGCAAGGTAAAAACTCTTTGACTCTTCTGCATGGTTGTCCACTACAATTCAAAGAATCATAAATTCTGATCCTCTTTTCCCCCACGTCAAAAACTAGTAGAATCCAGTGTTTTCCAATATTAAGGGGCATATAAACGTGGTCACACTGTGCCCATCGTTTCCCGCATTCCACATTTCTGCCCTGTATTGCACTGGTTACACTTTTGTTACGAAGGCACTCCTCCATTGAAGTTTCATTCTTCAAAATGAGATCATGATGGCGTTTCAGCAATGCCATGAAATACGAATCCGTTGTCGTGAAACTCTGCTCAAATC